GAATCAACCAAAAATACAATAAATCAAAGCCATTATTATTTATGCACATATTGTCAAAAAAGACTTGAGTTTTCCTTTGGAAAACCAATTTGCCAAGAGTTCTGGTTTGATGCTATTGGATCAACACAGGACTGCTATCCTGCACTGTGGGTTAATGCATTGGACTGCAAAGTCAGTTTGAACAGCAAGGTTGGTGATTGAAGCTTACCAGCTGCTCCTTGGGAACTCTATACAGGGTTGCTATGGGTCGGAATTGACTCGATGGCACTTAAGAACAACAGTAACAGCTATCCTCGAGGTTGAAACCCACTAGTTGCTCTGGGAAACATTATACAATGGTCACTGTGATTAAGAACCAACTTGACAGTACACATCAGCAACATGTATGGGGCCACTATGATTTGGAATCAACTCAACATCAGTTGGAAGCAATGAGTTTGTTTTGGTGTCTTGAAACACATTATAGCTAATATAATAAATCATTAGAAAATAATCAGAAACTTGATCTCAAACTCATAATAAAATATGTCCATTACATCTCGATTAATATGATAAAATGTAGATTGGGAAAATTTTAACAATAAGAATTAGTTAAACTATCTGCTGTATATTCAGATGACTATTCTTAAGTAATCATGAAAATGAGCTCACAAAATGTCATAATGGCATTGAGAAATTCTCACAATATCATGTAAAGAAAAAATACATTAATGATAAAACTGTGATTATGCTGTAAAGCTAAGAATATTAAACTATGACTAGTAAAATCATAATAAGAAAACACATTATACTAATGGTGATTATTTATCAACCTGGTAATTATGTAACACTTGATTTCTTTCATGACACATTTATATATTTTCTAAATTTTCTGCAATAATAATTAATACTTTTAAAGCTGAACAAAATATAAGTAAAAGAGAAAATAATTATTCTAACAATTATTATTAATAATTATTAATAATTATCTAATAGTTATTCTAACAATTCAATAACTGATGTGGTACTGTAAGAAAAACACTGAACTGCAAGGTCTGTTTGAATTGCAAGGTCGACTGTTCAAACTCATCAGCCACTCCTTGAAGACCCTTTACAGGGTTGTTATGAATTGGAACTGACTTGATGGCACTTAACAGAAATAAAAACATATATCTCTAGGCCCTATAATACATTGTTCCTGGCTTCAGTAAATGTGAAATCTCATGGAGACCTAAGTGAAATTAAGTTAAAATTTGATATGACATGTTTTTGGAATTAACAAAGGACTATAAGAACATGGAGCTCTGGTAGCGTAGTGGTTACGAATCGGGCTGCGAGCCTTAAGGTCAGCGGTTCGAAACTACCAGCCGCTCCGCGGGAGAAAGATGAGGC